TTGTCAAAATTTTTTGTAACACAGTACGAGAACCTGACAGTTAGGCTTCGCGGCTGTGGTAGCAATGCAAAAACCTTGTTTTAGGTTCCATGGCTACTATAGTAGTGTATGGGCCTTCGCTAAATGGGTTGCAGGCTCCATAACTGAGATAACAGTGCAGTGTATTTAAAAAACCCCATTCAAGTCACCATAACTCAATCCTGTATATACCTGAGTACTCACATACATATGCATAAACTTTACTGATACCGATCGTACTGGTCTTGCGCGGCACCATGTGCTGCTACCTTATACTAATTATCGCATAGTTTGTGACTAGGGTTGGCATTAAATAAATTACATTTTTACGTTCATAGGACGACTTTCATATGATTGGTTGTTTAAAGTCAATTTAATTTTACATTATTTATACAGTTTAAAGTACTTTTTCAAAAAATAAAACTACAAAGAATGAATGAAAAAAAAGTACATGAGAGGTATTATTAGTGTTGTAGGACTCCACTATTGAAAATGATCAAAATTCCTTTTTGTTTTAGCGAAGTTAGTATTATAATAACTTCTTAAAAATAGATCGAACAAGATTATTACTATTCTAACTTCTCTAAAACAAAAAGGGATTTTGATCATTTTCAATAGTGGAGTCCTACAACACTAATAATACCTCCTATGTACTTTTTTTTCATTTATTCTTTGTAATTTTATTTTTTTTGAAAAGTACTTTAAACTGTATAAATAATGTAAAATTAAATTGACTTAAACAACCAATCATATAAAAGTCGTCCTATGATTTTTACGTTGCATGAAATTACATTGTAACTTACGAATCTGTAATGTAATTTTACATTGAATAGTGCATTGTCATGTGATAATTGCACCAGCGTTAAAAGTTTTGCCAAGATTAATAATTATCCATCATTATGTTCGGAACTGTAATTTTATACTTATTTTTATGCAACTTTACGTAAAATTGCGTAAAATTACAGTAATTTGCCAACTCTATTTGGGTGGCCCTAATTCCCCCACCAGTTAGACTACACCACTTTTCGTTACCAATCAAATTATAAGATCAGGTGTAACATGAATTTTCAAAAAAAATTGAAATTTTTCAAAAATCTCCGATAACTTAAAATTTGGGTTACAAAACCATCTTTCATGTTCTAACAAAAAAATTTCCTTGCAAAATTTTAGTATAGTATACATTCTATTAGACTTTTATACAGTTTCAACGATACTTCCGTTATTTGATCAAATAAAAATTTATAAGTCAATTTCGCCAAATAAAAGGCAGGATTTCTCTTCGTTCAATAGGAACTGCTGGGGAAAATTAGTAAATCCCTATTTGGAACGTCCCATATAGTTTTGGTTACATCATTAATGTCAACTAAATTGTCGATCTACTTATCATATTTTGCTCACTCTCCCGAATTGAATGCAAAGAGAAATCAGTAATTCTTGATTTTCGGAAATTTCACTTTTAGAAACATACAATATCAGAATAAGCCATTGCTGAAAATGAAATGTTACACAAATCCGGGTCCTATCATTTTCCTAAAAAATCCCGACAAGTTAGCCGCATTAGTAGCTAGTGTTAGTTCCTGGTCAATTTTTGTTGGGATTTTGTTTGTCCGGAAAATGACAAATCAGTTACGAAAATGCTTTATATTTTGCCCGTCGCATACACTTTCATTTATAGATGTTAAATAAAATGATGCTATTTTGCTACTTTTACATCTTATTGCTAAAGTTTCAATTGCTCTACATTTTAGCTAAAGCATATACTTCAACACCTCGTCATTCGCATAGCGCCACACTAATAGGCAATAAACTTTATATATTAGGTGGTAGTAGTACTACTATTGCTAATCCTAATTATGATATATTTACACCAACGAATGATCTTTTTTATCTCGATGTCTCTGCTGCATTTAACAAGACGAATATTCCATGGACAGACCTCTTTAATGTTGTTGATACTCCTAAACAAGATGCTGCATCAGTATCCACCGGCGGTCCAAACAAAGACAACATTTTTTTATGTGGTGGCGCATTCGAAAATAACAGTTCTGGTGTTCCTTTAGTTTACACGCTCGATTCCATAAAAAATGTGTGGAATACCCCCACTATACAGGAGATACAACCGCCTAGACGTCGACATTCTAGCCCGATTATCGATGTTACAGGGAAAATGTATATATTCGGTGGATCATACAATATTTCGACAGGAAATTCGAGCTTGACTTATGATAATCGAATGGATATTTTGGATACAATTAACTTAATCTGGTCAAAAGGATCTCAACTCCAAGCTCCTACACCGAGAGATAGATTTTCTGCTACTTTATTACCGAGTGATATTATTGTTTATATAGGCGGATTTGATGTTACAGGAACTACGACTTTAAGAGAGGTTTGCCATTTAATTTAGTTATTTTAATGAATATTTTTAAAATAACTTATTGCCATATTTATAAGATATATTTATATGATGCAAAAAATGATGCATGGGAAACAATGGTAAATCGGTGTTAAATGCAATATCATCTTAGCATGTTGAGATGTCTAATATGACTTTTTTTTCAGATCACTGTCAGATCCATTCCTGACACACTTGCAATGCATACGTCGGTGCTTGGTAAGCTAAATATTTCTAAGATTAGTCCATTAGCTCTACTTATATTAAGTCTACTTACATTGCGTGTATTTTTAGGGTTAAATAACGATCGTCTTATCATTTATGGAGGACTTCATAGTTGGCAATCACCTCAAGTAGATCACGATCTTTCAGTGTTAGATATACGCAACAAACCGTACAAGTGGTTTATACCAAATATTTCTGGTATTATTCCACCTACACCATGTGATCGGAAGATATATGATCGTTACTTTCGGTATAAATTATAGAATTTTATTATGTTCATTCACATTTATATATATTCTATCTATTATTTAATGTCCAAACTTGTAGGTCTCAACTTACAAGAAAAATCTATGAACCCTAACGTAAGCATTCTTGATATTGGAAATGATTTTGAATATAAATGGGTTACATCATTCGATCCTAGCTTATCATCTGTTCCAAATCCCAATACAAATTTTAATCCAAGTCTAAATCAAATATGGCGTATCAGTACTTGCGCGTTGATCGTGGCTATAATTGGAATATCTCTAGGTATTATTTTGCTTATCATAATTTCTATATTAATGATTTATCGATGGTATAAAAGAAGACTTTTACGTACGATTCAAGCTTATTGAAGTTAGTTCAAACAATACGTATTATGCCCAAGACCTTTTGGCGAATGTTTCAGGTCTCGGATTATAGTTTTTGAAGCCTTTCCGAAACTCGAAACTATTGGAACTTGTAATATACTTTACTTTACTTTTATTATTATGACTAAGAAAAAACTTCATTATATTTGATATTAAGAACCGTTATATGAATTACTATATTTATGGATTAAGGTTATTTTAAAATATTTTAATTAAAACACAAAACATTACTTCAAAGTGTAATTAAAGATTAGTTATATATTTTGAATTGATCTTTGTAAAATATAACTTACTTTTTTGTAAAAACTAATAGATCTTTTTTGTTAAGAGATGCTCTAACTATTAATAAAAATTTGAATAAAATCTTCAAAAGTAATTTTATATTGTATATATTGTTGCTATAAAAAGTTACTATCAAATTAGGGTAGCTGCGCAACGTGTGACATGCAAATTCGACTATTCTTCACTAAGTAAATTAAATCAAATTATAATAAGTATATTACCGATTCTTCGTAACTATAATTATGATGAAAACAATAAGTAGTTAGAGATGAAACTCGAGCTTAAAAAAGAAACGAATGGTAAAATTTTACCAGCATGTTTTTTTGAAAATTGCACTAACCTTAACGTTAATTCTACCCGACCCTAATGATAATGGGCTCTGCCTCATTTCACCGATACTTATTTTGCCGACACGACACAACACTGACAACTACAGCTGTTTTCTTAAATTTTGGGGCATCTAAAAATTTTCTCATTTCCCGAAGCTTCATCGATCTTGTTCTAAGAATCACCCAACTTTTCAGAAGTTATTTTGTTGTCCTTGAAACTTTGATTCAAAGATAGTGTTATAGAACAGTTTATTATTTTATTATTCCGATATTGTATTTTATTATTTATTATTATTATTTAGTCTTATTTAGTTATTATTATTATTAGAGTAGAATTTAGCAATTATTAGCGATTACGCTTAACGATTAGCGATTACGCTTAACGATTAGCGATTACGCTTAACACTTAACGATTAGCGATTACGCTTAACGATTAACGATTAGCGATTATGCTTAACGATTAACGATTAGCGATTACGCTTAGCGATTAATGATTAGTGATTACGCTTAGTGATTACCAATTAGCAATTAACGATTAGCAATTACACTTTACACTTAGCACTAAGTAAACTACGCTTAGCTGCAACGATTAGCGATTAGCTCT